GGACCCCCGCTTGGGAGCTTCCCCTTCCTCCCTGCAGGCCCCCCAGGTACGAACCCCCTACCGTGTGGGGGCATCCACACATCTGCCTGCTCTGCTGCCCACATCCCCTGGCCCACCACCAAAACTGAAAACTGGCTTGAGGGATGGGTCAGGCGTGGGCAAGGGGCTCCCGAACGTCAAGGCCTCAGCTTATTCCTCCTACCCCCCAGAATATGGCCTGGGAGACCCTCCTCCGCCTCCCGGTTTGCTGCAACCCCCCACCCTGGCCCCCTGGCAGCCCTCCAGGGGTGATGGAGCCCCAGCCACCCCTGCCCAGCCCAGGTAAGTGCCCCCACCGCCGTCCCTTAGCCCTGCCTCAGTCGGTCTGGTGGGGCCCCTCCAAGTCTTCCGAAGCCCGAGCCGCTGCTGACCCCTAGTGGCCACTCCTGGTTCTGCACTCAGCCCCTATAGATTGTCCCCGGTGGGGATGGGCGGCAATTTTGGAGGCCCCAGGAGGAAAATCCACTCACTTCTTTCCCAAAGTCCTCCCGCCGAACCTTCTGCCCAAGCTGTGCCATCTCCCTGGCTTCCCTCCGTTCCTCGCTGAGATAACGGTACCCCTTCTCTCTCTCCCTGCAGTGGGCTCCGCAGCCTGGGCGAGGAGGGTGCCCCCGCCCGCGGCGCCTCCCCGTCGACCCCCCCAGTCAGCATCAAGTCTGAGCGCCTCTCGCCGGCCCCCGGGGGCCCTGGAGACTTTCCCAAGACCTTCCCCTACCCCTTGCTCCTGGCCCGGCCTCTGGCAGAGCCCCTACGGCCCGGGCCCCCCCTGCGCCGGCTGCCCACTGCTGACAGCTGGCCGCGGTAGAGGACCCAGGGGTCATGCCCCCACACCTGCCGGCGCCCCAGCCTCCCAGCGTCCTTAGAGCAGACACAACAGTTACGACCCCCTCCGCGGTGGGGGCCTGGAGTTTGCATCCACAGTCGGGGGCTCCTTTCCCCGTACCTGTGTGTGTATCCACCAATAAAACACGCGTGGTGTCCGTGGACAAAACTACCTGTCGCTGCTCAGAGCCCATGCCTAGGTCCTCCCACCTTTTCCCCAGGGACCTGTCTTGCCTTGCCTTGGCTTGGGGTACAGCCTCCGGAACTCGACCCTGAGGGGAAGGCAGGTTGGGTAACGGGAAGACCGGTGGCGGGCAGGAACGTGACAGGGAGGAGCCCTGCAGCGGCGTCAACAGGCAGACGATGCGTGGGCGGCGGGTGCTCAGCCGGCCGGCGGCCCTAGGGGACCGCGTATAGCGCGCACTACACGGTTCCACCCCGGGGACAGGGGCCGGGCTATTCGCCCTCCAAATCCTGGGGGTGTCGGGTCGTGGGCTCCAATGGGAATCCCCGGGAGGGTTACACTGTTCTCTTAAATGGTTATATCCTTGATCTAAAGCAACAATTTTGTTCTACCGGAGGGAAGAGCCGGCATTTATCCATTGGGCGGGGAGAGGGGGGAGCAACCTCCCCCTACTCCAAACTTCATCTGGAGTGGTCTGGAT